ACCTGCCTGCGTGTCCTGTGAAGTGCTTATCGCCAAAGAGTACAACGCATTACTTCTGCATATTGCTATTAGTAGTAGAAAGGCTTCCTCTCCTTTGCATTCCATCCCACAAACTTGTTTTATTTGGAACTAAGTTTCCACATCCCTCTTTCTGTAGAGTAATTTAAGGAGGGAGCCAAGTCCAATACAGAGGATTTCTCAGGGGGAGAATGCTGCGAAGTCTGTGTATCTGCAGATGAGAAATCAGCTATGGGTTGTTGACCTTAAGAGTGGACATCGCTCTTCCAGTAACATGCAGCACTGCTCTACAAGGAAATAAGGGACGGCTTTCCATATGGGGCAGTTGAGGTCACTGACAGACCAAAGCAGGGCCTTTCTTTTGTGTCCCCAGAAATGTCTTATTATGGAAGCCAACACCATCCCTGAAGGAAGTGCAGCTCACAGCCTATCCAGTCTACGGAAGGTCTTGCATGGAGCAGGTGCTTGTTCACTGAATGACTATAGTTGCATAGGTGGCGGGCAGGACAGCTTGTCATCTTGCAATGCAGGATAAGGTCATGCGGACACTGCCTGATGGGTGTTGTCATTTCCCAGCCCTGGATGTGATGTCTTCCCCGGGGCTTCCCCACCATAGATGTGTGCAACACAGCCCTGCGCTCCTGCCTGTGCCTCCCACAAGGCCACGGCGTCCTTGGAGGGCTGCCTTGATCCCTACGGGCTCTGCTCCCTATCTGTGCCTGGCCTGCCAGGAGTCTCATCGTGTGGAGTTGGGAGGAGCACAGGCATGGCTCCAGCTGATCCAGGTTGGGTTCTAGGTTACTCAAGTGCCTTGAGGGATGGAAAGAGAGGGCTCTGAGGGCTGGGCCAGACTTGGTAAATGCCAGCATTTTCCCCAGACTTTCATTAAAACAAACTTGTTAGGGTAAAGTGTTCAAGCAGGGGGAAGTGTTTCATTCCAGAGTTTACTGCTGCCCACCCTGTGATGCTATCCTTCTTGGCCTTCCCAGTGCTTGGGCCACAGCCAACCAGCTGCCTCTGTCCCACACATGCCCTGCAGCAAGCCGTGGAAGTCAAGTTCTCACAGCGCAGTCTTCAGGAGAGGCCCTGTGTTGCTGCTCACTGCCTCTGGGTCCCAGAGCATATCAGTTTGCTTCTCTGAGTCTCACTCATCGACTTCTGCTCATGCGAACAGGATGAGAATCAGATGACTCAGAATGCACAGAGACCTCAGTCCTGCCCCAGCAGTGGAAGGCACCCAGCAGATGCTGCCGTCCTTCGCCCTGTGGTTCCTCTTTCACCTGGTAGGGCCATCCTTGCCATCCTTCTCACCCACTTTATGCCTCATCTGCTGATCCCTTAAGGCCTTGTTCAGAGCCCACCTTCCCCGCAGAGTCTCCTCTCCTGGTGAAAGCCCACTCTCCTTTGTCTGCCGCCTGCTGTCTTCTGAGAGCTGGGGCTGGTCTCCTTTCCCTTGGTGTCTGTGCTTGCTCTTGGCTATTGCTCCCTGGTCTCTAAATCCTATGGGAGCAAACTGACCACCTGTTTGTCTTATTTCCTCAAGATACCTACTAGAATAGCTTGCGTACAGCGAGTGTTTAAAATAATGGCCTGTTTTGCTAAAGTCAAGGACCTACAATCTTTATAAGTATGAAAGAGTCCTTTAAAGACTTCTCCAAATACAGCTTCTCTTACTGCAGTGGAACACCCATCTCTGAAAAAGACAAAATGTAAAAGGGGGGACATATCAGGAGCCACAAAGCTAGGAAATCGATCAAATATGTGCAGGTGGGACTTGGCCCAGTGCTACAGCAAGCAAGCTACCTCTGTCCTGAGAGGAACATCCCGTGTGGTTAAGGTCAGCTATCAGCTGCCAGGCCAGCTAGCATCCTGTGTTACTAACTTCACAAAAGTGTAAAGAAAGGATAGTCTTGTTGTGAAAAAAAGAAGGAAAAAATAATATATATATATATATACACAAGAGGGTTAGGATAGATATACAGCTTCTTTCTCTTAGTTCACTGAGAATAAAAGTTTGTACTAATAGTATTGACAAGATATCAAGTCTGCATCTTGTCCTCTGAATAACTACTATGAAGACAACAAAATGCAATATATTAATTATGGTAAACATCCTCCTAACCTGTTTTAAAACTGTTTCATCGCTATTTTATCTTTTTTCTCATTAAAATGAATAAAAAATAAAAATAAAAATAAAATAAAATAATGACCTGATATGTTCAGGCGTGCGCCACCATGCCTGGTCTCCGTGGCAGGCTTAGTGCACCTGGGGGGTGGGGCCGGCATGGCATGTGGTGTCGGGGATCAACCCCGGGTCTCTTCACTTGCCTAAGCAGGTGCTTAGTCCACTGAGCTATCGAGCCAGCCCTGAAATCACCCAATTTTTCTTTGTGTATGGGGTTCCATTTGGCCCCTTTAGGGAGCAAATTTAAGGTTTCATTGTAAGTCTCTGACCTCAATGTCTAGAGAATTCTTGGAGAAAGCTATAAATAACTTGTGCACTACTCTCTTTTTAATGACTACTCACATAAGCAACTAGAATAAAGTCTTGCTTAGGGGCTAGCCACAACTCTAAAATTAAAAATGTGCCTTCAGAGGGCAGGCATCCCAAAGGCTACCAGCCCACAGCTACTGCCCCCAAATCTTCATCTTTACTGTACTTCTGTAAACTGCACAGCATGGAAGCAATGTAAACCAGAGCTAGGATTACTATTTTACAATGAGAAGGGAGGGACGCTTGAGAATTTGAAGAAGTCACACCACGTAAATGCCAGGTCTGAGGTCACTATACCGGTGTTGTCTTTTTGATAGAATTCTGGAATTAGGTTTGAGCCAAATGTGGGCCCAGTCCCAAAATATCCTTTTTACTGGTACCCAAGAGGGATTTCCATGTGTCTGGAGAGCTTTTTAATCTTTTAGAGGTTCCTATTTAAAGTGAAGCAATGACGTTGGCCGGCATCTCTGCAGCTGTCACATAAGGGGCTCCCTGCAAGGGTAGGTTCTCCGGTTACGGAAGCCTGGGAAACCCCACATAGCTGACTGCCCTACGGTTTGTGACTGCTCAGCACCCAGGAGTCTATGAAGGGCCCCGAGAAGGCAGTGAAGAAATCTACTCACTGAATTCAGACCTTTTCACTTATTCAACTAGGAGATTAAGAGTCCTTTTGCTTTCCTTGTAAGCTGCCTAGCAACATTGTATGGAACTGGAGCGCCACAGAACGCATTTTAGATGTGCTGCCTCCACCAGGAAAGAGCACCCGGGAGTGGGACGTGGGGGGACGGGAAGTCGAGAAGCACAAGGACAGATGAAGGGACTCAGGAGGGCCTTCAACACAGACTGACAGTCATGCCAGACATTACATGACTTTGTTTGCCTGCTGCAAAAGCCCAGCCATTGTTAAGGCCTGCAACGAGACTGCACCATTTCTGCACCTTCATATGATTTCAAATTACCTGATGCTGGAGGAAGAAGAAGGGAGAAGGTGGGTAGCAACCCTTGTTCAGTTGGAAAAGAGGAAGGAAAGGAGCAGAGTAAGGGGGAAGAGGGGCGCTGAGACGACAGGGAGACAGGGTGTCCTGGCAGTGCGAGCTAAGAGTGGAAGGCAGTGGGCAAGATGGAGAAGAGGCAGCGAAGGCTTGCGACAGGCCGGCAGAAGCTGACAGACGCTCCACGGCAAGCCAGGGCTAAATAATAGCGCGGCCATGGCCTCTGTGTGCTGTCTGTCCCCGGATGCGAGGCTGCCTAACCTGCCCATAGCCTTCTGCCCCTGGACCTCTCATTGACCAAGGGTCCCAGGCCCCTCCTCTTTGTTGATAGGGCCCAGGATGAGATCCTAGTGTCTGGCTACCAAAAAGTCACAGTTATGGGAAAGCCCAGGCATAGCCAGAGAAGAGTGCTCAGATGTTGTGCAGAAGCCAGAGCTGGGGGCAGCTGAGAGGGGCTCTTCTCACCAGGGCTGTCAAATGGCCTCCTTCTTGCATGCATAGCCACTAGGAATCTTTGGTAAGTTAAGGAAATGTAGAAATGCTGGAATTGAAAGCAAGGTAAGCAACACATTTGGAAATCTCTCTCTCATGCTGAAGGGTGAAATTATCTGATTTGCCTAACAGAGTGGCTTCTGTAAAAAAATCATGTAAAACTCCCAAATGTTTTCATAAGTTACAAATATATATTACTCAAAAGGCAGGGGTACATGTGGGGTAGAATAGGGGACAAGACACTAAGACAACTCCCTTTTAAAAATTCATAGTTTTCAAATTACTGTTCTGTGGAGAGCTTAATTTAGAGACCTGATTTTACATGGGAAGAAGCTGCCCTCTGGGATAGAGTCTCACCTAGAGTTCATTTATAAATAAATTTTAAAATTCATCTCTTCTCCAGAAACATGGTTCTGGTGGCATGCCCAGCCTCTCAGAAGGAGACCCTGCTTCAGACAGCTCTGCTCGCTAGAATGGTGGCCCTGCATCTAATGCTCTTTCTGAGTCAGCAATGACGCTCAGGGGATACATGCTCACAGCTGCCTGTCACACTGAGGCCGCAAGCTGCCTTGGGTATATGAAGTTACTCGAGACCTCTCACTTATTTGCACAGATCAGAACCTCCCCAGAACCTAACCAAGCCCTGGAATCAAGGGCACGCCAGGAGGGTACAGAGTGGATGTGCGTTCATATGTGGTTGTGAGCCTGGACCCAGGTGGTGTTTACCGTAGCGACACCATTTCTCTCAGTGTGTTACACAGTGGGGATGGTTTGGATTGTTTGAGTGGAGTAACATGATTGCCCATGGTGCTGTATGTCTCCAACTCTAAATACACACAGTGGCAAAACTAGACAACAATGCGGAAAGAATAATAAATCACACAATGTCACTGAAGTCATGCAAAGAGGAAAAAACGATAAAAAAAATGGGCAAGCAACAGACACCATAAATGAAAAGACAGAAAAGTAGAAGCCAGTGCATACAATTCTAAAGTCATTCTTACCTTCTTCAGTCATTGTGTCATAATATTTTAGCTTTCCATATGATCCAAGTTCTACAACATCACAGTAAAAGACACAAAGATAAGGAACGAGCTATACTGTAAGAACTTTGTTTTTACACATTCTTAATTAATCAGATTCAGAGTTATACTGTCAAATTCTGCAATCGTAACTAAATGGAGATGTGCAAACATGGGCCATGTGGCAGACAGCTTTCATGGCCCACTTTCAGAAATCACCAAAAATATATAGTTCTACTGAGGGGAGGACGTGCCCTGCGTGGCAGAGCAGGACACGGTTACTTTAACATCCAGGGAAAGAGAATCTGAGGCAAAGATACCTCACTCCACCCTATCTTGGGCCTACAGTTTTTATGGAGGTGACACTCCAGGAGCAGAAGAGCAAACAAGGACAGTGACCAGGCCCATGGAGCTTGCAGACCCCAGGGCTCCTTGCCATGGCCAGCAGTCCCAGAAGCCCACTTCAACAGAGCCCACTTCCCAGAGAGTAAGGAAGCCACCTGGGAGGAGCCAAAATAAGAGGCAGGGCTCACCCTTCCCTCCCCCTTGCACTTCCTGATGTAGGAAGCACGGAGTGCCACGTGTCTGGCATGCAGGGAGGGCTGCAAATGGTGCCAGGCTTCTGGGAGCGAGAGCAAGGCATATTCCCAGGGACAGCTGCCTGGCTAAGACACGGCACTCTTGGTCCAGGCCTCACCTGCTGTGCTACAAGCAGCGGGGCACGGCTAGGACCAGTAGCCCCTGCTCTGAGGGCAGGTGGCCCCTTGCCTGCCTTCAGTGGAAACCACTGGCTGACTGGGCTGCTCTCACCAGTTGGCGGCCTGGCAGCTGGGGCAAGGGTAGAGCGGAGCTGGGGACATCATTTATTTTCTCACTGCAGTTTTTAAATGGAAATCTTTATCTTCATTGTCTAAAAAAATCCCAGATTGTTTTGAGCAACACTGTGAGCAGGTTAAAAATATTTTTCTTGTTCATGACAACACTTTCCCCATAAACTACAAAAAATTAATTAGACTCCAGAGACACTCCTGTGATTCTGCAGAAAACTGTGTCCCATTAACTTGGGCAGATGCTGGAAGTCCACAGATGAATCAACTAATAATTAGTGGGTTTGTGTACAAGATGAAGAATCTAGCTTAGATCAGTAATAAATAAATTGTATTGTATACTTATATATTCACTATGTATTCTTTTTCTCACATGCTTAAAACTTTACCTAAAGTCATGTCAATATACTACCACAAATTTTGTCTTGGTGAGAAAAACTACTTCATTGTTATGTTTTTGCAAAAATCCTCTTATTCATGATTTTGTTAGATATATTACAAAAGATGCAGGTGCTTCAGTAAGAAAATTTTCACTGAGTTTTGGGGATTGCCTTTAGTGGAGCTTCTATTTCTGGCATTTTTAAGAAGAGTAATTTATTATACGTACAATACTGCACAAGTCAGAAATTCTTAAATTATCTAAATACCTTCATAAATACTAAACACATGTTTACAGTGACTTCACACATAATGTATGTGTGTGTATAAAACTCTGCAGCAAGTTGATGGATTATATCAGCCAAGTAATATTTTTGTAGCCTTTTTCTTCCTTCCCCCAAGTAAAGCAGTGGAAGACGCAGCTAGCGTTTACTCTTATTTGCTCAGGAAATAGACCGTGGGCGGTTGGTTTTATGTCTGCACAGTTGGCCATAAAGCACATTCTATGCGGTGAAGCTTTTCCACCACCTTTTTATGGGTCCATCTCTTTAAATGGAAACGTTCATATGCAAATGCCTGTTTTCAAGTCTCAATCGCACGCTGTCAAACATCTGTGGCAGACGCTGTTGGTCTTAACCCCACATCACGGGAGAATCAGGTATAAAGAAATAATAAATATGCTCATGTCATTGTGCTGTTTACGTCTGCGCAGCCAGAGCTGGACATGCTCCTGCTCAGCACCGTGGCAATGTAGCTGCTTCCTGGGATGATGACGAATGGGACAGAAGGACAAAAACTGGACCAAATATACCAAAAAAAGAGGAGGACAATGGTGGAACAAAAGTAGTGCAAAGCTGCATAATGACAGGTGACACTCAACTTGAAGCACGACAATGAAGAAATGGAAGAGTTTGCCCAGGCAAAGGCGCCATGTGTATCGCTTAGCCAAAGAACGGGCAGCGGCAACAGGCTGGTAGAATGCGGCCCTCAGCCAGGTCAGCAATGGGCTGCTAGGACAACAAACACGTTGTCCACATCCTGAGGAGGGAAGCGCTAAGGCCAGGACCTCGCCCCTGCATCACGGCCTTGGAGGGTACAGACAAGGAATGCGACGTGAACATAATGTGCACACATGTGCCAGAGCCTGTCACACGCCTGGCTGCTGGCCTACTGCCATGGTTGCGTCTACAAAGTGGCTTTGGCCGATGTCTGCTCACAGCCTGGCCGGCGAGGTCTGGAGGCCCTAATGAGAACTCACCAGTGCAGGAGCAGTGGCTTCCAACAGCACACTCCCTGCAGCAAATAACCAGGACAGCCCGACTGAGTTCACTTAGGATTCATACAGGGTAGAAGCTGAGTTTCTGTAGCACGGGGGTGAAGCCGAGAACTCCAAGAAGGTACTGAGCCATCCTACCCAGCAATGTGTACTGTAGCGACTGAGCATGCAGCAGGCGGAACTGGAGCAGCAGCGCCACACACAACGCCACTGAGGGTGCAGGTGGGTGCCTCTTCTCTGTGACACTTCTCTATGAGTGGAGAGGAATTGTGGGCCTCAGGGCTGGCGCTGGAGGTGGGCCTCCAATGTGATCACGAAGGTGCCCAGCGTGACAGCTCTACTCGCTTCAAGGCTGTCTGGGTAGGTGGGCACACCGGCACCCAACCCCTTAGGTTTCCAGGGGCAGCCGACCTTTCCTTAGTTCCCTGTCCACTTCCTTCTGGTCTTGCCAGCACTTTCCCTACCTGGCTTAAGGCACCTTTGAGTTGCCGTCATCCACATTTTATAATTAACAAAACCAAAGTACAGGTCTTGTCTGGTCTTAAGAATTTGAAAATAGAGACCAGGGAGATGGCTCAGTGGAATAAGCCCTTCCCTGGCAAGCACAAGGACCTGAGTTCAATCCCCAGTTCCGAAAAAAAAAAAAAAAAAAAAAAAAGTAGCACACTCTCAAAGATGAAACACCTTGGTGGAGATGTGGCTCGTTTGTTATGTGGAAGAATTTGAAAGTAGAGAATTCATATTTTGAGCTCTTCTCCCTTTGTCGAGAATTACATGGACATAGATTTTTTTCCCCCCTTCCAACACTGCTTTTTTCAGCTGTAATTTTGAGATCTTTGACATTCTCAGTACTTTTTCTGAAAATTCCAGAAATGGAAGTAGCAGAAAAATGACTTCTCACATTTGAGCATGCAAATGTAAAATCAATAGAAAGATCCAAGGTCAGTTCATTTTATTAGACAGAAAAATAAAGGTAGGGAAGTCAATGAAAGCATTTTCTATTTAAAGTTAACTTCTGGGAAAAATATATTTTTTTTCAGAGGTTGTTTATTGTATATGAAGAAATTAAGACTTTCTCAGTATAGACAGCATAGTAGTTTCTTGGTAAAGCTGTCTACTACTTACCACGGAGATGTGTTACAATCTCTGGATCCTTTGAAGATTACTTTCAGTAGTGTGTGGAAGTCAAGAATACGGGCTTTGAATCAGGCTTGTGGGTTCAAAGCCAAGGTCTGCTCCTTAGGAGATGTGTGACTCTGACCAAGTTTCTCCACCTCTCTGAACCTCAGGGTCCTCAACTGAATGGGCAAGTGTGATGACACCTGCCTTTCCAGGTGCCAGGGGAGGGCAGACAAGATGACACGAAGCACTCAGTATGGAAAATGGTCACTGTTGCAAGTACCACAAAGAAGTGTGAAAGAGCACTAATGAGACCAGGAATAGGCTATTGAAAGAACTTCATGTTTTCAGTCAGGTTTTGTGAAATGAATTCAACATGATTTAAAGAGGTTCTAAGCAGAGATTGTTGTTCAACAGTAAAAGATATTCTGCCACACTGTGGCTAGGATTTTAAAAACATCCCTTCACTAATCCTGTCAGTCTACTCTAAGGTCCAGGGTGAGTCAACACATGGGCCACAGCCAGGCAGCAGGATGTGAACCTGGGCCTGCACTGGCCCGGCTATCAGAGACCAGGCTCGGGGCCTCCGTGCTTCCCCTGGTAGCAGCTGCAGGAGAGCCCGTTTCCAGCTGGGCTGTCCGTCATGGAGGCAGTGGCTCTGTCCTCGGTAGAACCCAGAACAGTGCTGTTTTCATATCCCATGCTGGTCACACATTTCTGAAATGAAGTATCCAAATTCACAGACCCCGAATGACAGCGACAATCAGGATGCCTGTGCGTGATGTGCTTCTCTGGGCTTGCCGAAGCCAGGAGGTCTGGCACTGATGTCTGAGGCTTTCCAGCCTTTGGTACAGTAATGTTACAGTAATGGGTAAGAATGCTTCTGAGCAAGACAGTCGGCCTGTTCAAGATGTGGTTCTATTACTAAGGAGCTGATTGGCCCTCTCTGAGCCTCACTGCCTTCTGTAAAATGAGGAAGAGGGCAGCAAACCATTATCATGAACAACAAGTATCTAGACAGTCTTTGCAGCGGGGTGGTACAAAATACTGAATAGGTGGCTTCTCTCTTTACTGTCTGCCCAAGGTCTGCGGTGAACACCTGAGGCAGCTCCTTGCAAGGCACTGAGCCCCACTCACAGGGAGAATGGTCACCTGGGGGCACCAACCTGTACCTGGACACAGGCGAGCATCAAAGGCCTGCCCCTCCTCCCTTCAACGCAGGAAGACTGTTGGCAGGAAAACGCTCTATCTGCTTGCTATAGGCTGCCTTGTCTAACCTTCAGAAACATGTTTTTTAATATTAACATTTTATTCTGAGCATAAAGGATATTTTTGCTTATTTTATAAATCTGCGAATTTATTTTTACAACAGAGTATTTTGTTTTGAAGTTACGTAAATGGACAGTGTGAAGGTTGAGTATGTGTAATGTCCC